CTTAGGTCTTAGCTTTTCCCCGTCTTACTTCATTCTTTTCAGAAAGACACGATCACAGAGCTTCTCCGAACGACCATCACGACGGTACTCGATTCATGGAACAGTCAAAGAGCATGCGATGTTGAGCAAGAGGAATTCGATGGGCTCGGCGACAACGAACAACACGAACAGCTCCACTCCATCCCTCACCAACGGTAAACACGATCAGGAAATCTACAAAGCCGTCAATGAATACTACGACCGTCATGCGAACAGTTTTGTGAATGGTAAGAATGTTCTGGATCAGAAATTCTAACCTAACATGATCTACGCTCTGATCCGCCTTGAATGTCTGATTTCCCCACCACACCTTAAAAGGCGTTGAGCCAGTATTCCTAAATTCCTAGTATATCGGTGATTTCTGCAAGCGATGCGGCGCGTGAAGCGGTGTGAAGCAGCGTTCAGACTTCGCGACGGCAGCGCTTCGGTCGCGCGTTCGACGCGATCGATGCAGTTGAAAGCATGCGCATCGATCGTCGAATCGCGCGACCGAAGCGCTGCCGTCGCGAAGTCTGAACGCTGCCTGAGTTGGATCGCAACCAGCACAGGCCTTCACACCACTCAGGACGGCATGCAAAAGTCGCCTTGGCAGCAGGGCACGCCATTGCGTTGTGATAAATTCCTGAAAAATACGACCCCCCTAATTCCATCCTCTGATACGACCCCCTTCCCATCCTACCTACCACTTTCCTAGATTTTCCCAACTTCCTACCACTTTTTCCAGTTTTTCCGGCATTTCCCGAAAAATTTCTGGTTTTTCCCAAATTTTGCTGTCGAGCAGGGGACGGAGGGGAGGTCGTCAGCAACTAACTACTATTTTCAACTATCGGAAATAAAAGTTGTATAGAGGTATGGCGGCGTCACCAACACCGCAAATCCCTCCCAAAGACAATCCCCCTCGCCCATCAACGACCAGATACGATCCCCCTTCCTCGCGGTCGAGCACGATCCCTCCCCCATTGTTAGAAGCACCTTCCCCACCCCGTTCCCCTTAATTTTTTTTTGCAACCGACTATGGTCATTGGACGGAGATGCGAAGACGCGGTAATTCGAAAGACCAGAGAAGACGAGGAGAAGCTGTAGGTGGGCGAAATGATGGGCATCAACGCATTCGCAAATAGCGTTTCTGTGGGCGGAGCTGCTGCTTGTGGGAGGGGTTGCCACCACAAATGGTAGTCCCAGCACTCATGCCTTCTTCGAGTGGCGATAGTGGTCCGAGCTCTATACTTGCGGACCTGGCTGCCTAAGATACAACCCATCAGGAGACTCCGAACTGTGTCTGAGGGATACAAAGTACTTCGTACTCTTCGTTTAGCTATTTCAATGGAAATCCTATCTTCCAGGTGTTTCTATGAGATCTCTTGAGATCCAATATTTGAAGAGCCCTGAGATAAAAGAGATACTAGCTCAGTTCTATCCCAGGACCGTACGGTAGCGTGCCAACTTTGGTCCGTTGGACATTGGCCAGTGCCACATATTTGTCGGCGAGGAAGTGCAGCCTCAACGAGTGCACTTGTTTCGTCATTTTCTTCTCTTTCGAAGGGACCCCCTCCCGACACAAGAAAACAACCCTGAAAAGGCTCATATATCGATCCTCATGGTAAAACCCGTATTTTCAACCTTGGAACATCAACCTTGGGTTATGCTATTGATTCAACTTTGTAAATCATCATTAATATCATTCCGGTTTTAACATGACCGTCAATTATTCTCGTTTGATTCATTTGTTTTCTTCCCTGCTACCCCTCGTACGAAGACCGATGGACGTTTTTCTTCACTGGTTGAATAGCGGAGGAGTTTCGGAGTGAAACCGGTGAGTCTGCTTCTCCTGACAAATTCCCGACCAACCCTCTCTGTTCCGCCTCTTGCTCTGGCTTTCACCGTTTCTCATCAGCTCAAAGAAACATTGAGCTATTGAGTAAAATAACTTGTCCAACTAGTACGGTACGCAATAATCCAGCATCGTGATCATGCGCAAGAGTATGAGAACTTGCCGGATGTCTCAGCGCTAGCACAAGAACTTACTTGAGGTGTGCTTCAGCGCTGCCTCGGGTCGCGCACTTCGAGCAAGCCTGAGGGTTAGAAAAAGCTGCGGCGGAATGGGTGCCACACGAAGTCAATGGGGAGCAGCGGTTTCGTGGGCTTTTTTTCTTCTTCGCCTTCGTCGCTCCTCCTGCGCAACCAGAATGACCCTTTATGGGCTGCGATGACAAGCGGTACGACTACCCAATACGATAGCAGTAGTGTGAACGGCAGATAGCTGCCCAACTCCATATTCCGACACGCGGATTTCACTAAGAGAAGGTGACGCGCACTTTTGGCTGAGCTGTGGCGGAACTTATTCCCCACTTCTCCCGGAATCCGGGTTAGCCGGCCACACGAGCGAAGTACCAAGTTACGAAGTAAAACCGAAAATCGCCTCCACCATGACACTGATCAGCCGGATCTACATGCCTCAGAACGGGGTGCTGACCCAGAACTCGAAAGGAGTCAGGCTATAGGACTCGTCCTGAACCAGAACATTCGCAGGACCTCTCCCCACTCTTTACCACTTCTTTATGCAACTGAACATCCTCCTGTGCGAGAAATATGTCACCAACCTGGGCAATTTGAGAGCTACCTTTACCGAGCTCATCAACTGCTTATGTCATGATTTCGAAACGCTAGGGCGGTGAAACGGGTGCGGCCGAGAACGCCGACCTGGGACGCCTTTCCCGCAAGTGTTTTGAGCTCAGGATGGACTGGAGATAGGCCATCTAGGGAAAGCCTCCAATTCACGCCCATATGGCTAAGAGCGTGTTATGATAACTCGCGGATCGTCCATGATTTGGCCTGCTAGAGAATTTGTCACAGGTCCTGTTTAGGTTGAACCTGTAGGACTGTAATGATTTTCACTTGAATTGGAAAGCTTCACTCAATGCCGGACGATATTCCGCATGCATTATTTCCCAAAAAAAGCAGTACATTGGAAAAAAGCACTGGAACATTACTTCACTGTAGCCACATATTTTTAGAAAAGAACTACGACTCGTTGTTTGGTGCACCGGAATATATCCTCAGAAAGACGTCAATGCCACCGAACAACAAGCTTTCAGTAGTCGCAAATCCACCTGTGACAACAAGACGTAAGTTAAGTTTCTTCGAACGTTATGAGATTTACTTCGATATTTATCGTTTGAATCGAAAAATTCAAGGGTTTAAGTTGTTAGCAAAGCCCAGTGACTGTTGTCACCTGTTGTTCACCTCGACTCAGAGCACTATTCCTTCCTTCTTGTTCCCAGCTGTTTCGCTTTCCTGTGTTGTGTTTTTGTTTTCAAATTTTCACTGTGCCAATCTTGTCGCTATTTCAAATTTTCTTTCTGCGTCTGTGCGCGCCCCTCGGATGTGGGGTCAACATGAAATAAAATCAATTACTTTCACAGAATTGTTCATCCACTGCTCCCTCAACAGGTACTGCCGGAAGCGCATGAAGTTTTCTCGGTCTTTTTCGCGCACTTCCGACCATTTCGTCCCGTTTTTGCTCGTCTGACTTTTTCGATGGAACAATTGCTCGAAGTCACGTTTACATCACTTTTGGTATCTATTGCATTTTTAGAATTTCATCGTTCCATCTACTGGTTGGTTCACAATCGAAGGAAATACGGCTTTCGACATGTGTGCATGTTGCTCCTTGTACTGACGTACACTCTGCTTGGAGCGACTATGTTCTTCAGCATAGAAACAAACCATGAGCATAAGGTAAGCGACAGTTCTTTGCTTGTTTTTACTCCCATACGAGTTTAGTGCCAATTTGCCAGTGCCGGAGGGTAGATCTTTGCCTTGGCGAGGAGCCGATTCGGATCTGACCGCTCGACGGCGACGCACACACGTGTCATGTCACTGCTATTCACCGCCTCCGTCTCAGGCTGCGTTCATACTTTGCGCAGCTGTCCACAGCAGGCGACCACACTAGCGTTCGCAAGCGTTCCGGCAGCCTCAAAGGAGAGTATAAATATCGATTAGCATTCCCAGGCGTCCAACTTCGACGAGCAAACGTCTCGAGGTCTCGGAAAGTATAGGTATCGGATCAGCTGGCGTGTACGCTGCGCCCACCAGACTAGCAGACGTCCGGAGCGGAGAGTCATGGGGCGATGGAGGCGTCAGCAGTCGCTGGCACGGAGGGTGTGTGGTGTTCTTAAAGATCTCACTTCACACCTATCATGCCTCTCGGGGAGACTCGCCTGCGGTGTTGCCTGACTTAATTGCTCTCTCACTAACTCCTGACCTCTCCTCTACAGACACGACTGAGCCAAACTAAACATGGAAAGTAGAAGGAAAAAATAAAAGTAAACGTTGAAAAAGTCACAAAAAAGTTCTTTTCCTAAACTTAAAATGTCAAGAACACATTTAACCACTCAGAGCAACTGAAATGCAGACGTACACAACATGAAACCACTGCAATTTGAATGGGGAAAAAGGGCACGTATTGAAAAGAAATTTGTATTGTTTTCATTATGGAAGGTGTCCCAAATGATTTGAACTTCTAGACTCTGTAATAACTCGAAAGGTTAAATTGTTTCTGCCGCCAAAAATTCGGTGTAATTGGGACATCACATTTGATGCCCATCTATATGCCTCATCGGTTCTTCGGGAGCAGTTACTATGCATATGCCGTTCTCGTTTTATGCTTTAACTGGAAGCACACACCTCGACGCCACACATTTCGATGGGATGAACTTCGGCTCAACACCGCTTCCTGCTCTTGAATGCGGCCAGGCTTCTTGTCATATCCACTGTCGCGTACACAACTCGCTATTGGCATAGCAAAAAGGCCTCATGTCACAGTTCCAGCAATCTTCAGTTTCCCTTTTTGCACCAGCAGAAACACAACCACGGAAATACATGGGCGAACGACAGGTAAGCGAATAGGGAAAACGAGATATATTCAATTTACAGGATTTACAAGTCTAAGGGCACGTGCGAAACGGAAGCTGAGCTATCTCTTTGCTTTCGACCCCCCTCAATAATTCTCATTTATTAGATTTTACAACATAGTCCATTAATCTCAGTTTCAAAGATTATTTTATTTGTAGGCACCAGTCATATAATAATTTACAGGATTGTAGGCACCAGTCATTCGTTCACTTTTTATTACATGTATGGGACCAAACACTACAAAGTTTACGAAGCGGAAAACCTATTTGTGGAAAATGTCCGACTTTGTTACTGAACCACTGCCATGCTAGCTAATTTAATTTAAATTTAATATAATTTTAAATTTGTGTTTCATTTTCAATTCATTTTCAGCATGCTTTTCATCTTTGATTGTTTCATGTGATTCAAAATTTTTCAATTGTAGTCCATTAATCCTATTAAATTTGCTAAAAAAATCAGCAATAAATAATCAGTCATCATGATGTAATCGTTAAGTAGAGGAAAGGTCAGGAGTTAGTAAGAGTTTCAAGTAAGTCAAGCAAGCACCGGCAGCGCGAGTTACCCGGAGGCATGATAGGTGGTGAAGGTGGAGATCTTTAAGAAAGTCCTACACCGGGCGCGGCTCTACAGAGTGCAGCTTGTCTCCACACTCCTACCGCCCCAGGCTCTCCACCTCGGAAGTGCTGTTCGCTGGTAGGACAGCTGTCGCAAAAATTTCAACACTCCTCATTATTATGAGACTGTATCAATCATTTCGATTCATGGGATTACAGCTCGTTCGGTGGTGAAAATCACGATGGGCGAGGTCGATAATTGGCCGCTAGGGTAGCACGAGGGGTTGTATTTGGTCGGTTGTGGAGTGGGCAGGGGCATGTGGCGGTAACGGCTTTTGAGAGAAATTTGACCGGCGTTTGAGAAGAAATTTTCCTGTTTAGACTTTTGCATTTTTCCTGGTTTTATATTTGGCATTATGCCCAATTAGTTGGTGCCGCCGCAAGGTTCTGCTATACATCAATATTTCCAATATGCTTGAAAATAAGTTTGGTGTCTGACTAGCTCCCCGTCCTGCCCATCCGGCTCCTCACTCTGACGGCGAATATTTTGGCGGGGAGAAAAGTAGCAATTTTTTCGGGAAATTTCAAAGAAAACTGGTAGGAAACTGGGAACATGCAGGAAAGTTGTTGGTAGGTGTTGGGGAATGGGGAGAGGGGTCGTACCGAGACTCTCTTTCAGGACCGTACTGACACCACCATTTCACACATCACGAGCTGTGCCCTGTTCTCATTACCAGCAAAATGACCAGCAGGCCGGCGCAGTTTGTCGACGGGGGGGGGGCATTTTGCATTTCATAGATGAGTCGACCCATCTAGAAGCCTTTTCTCGAGTTGACACGTTTTGGGATGGTGGCTAGACGATCTTGCTCCAGCTTCACAAGGTTCACAAGTTTTACCAGAGTGAGATTTGTAAACCGGAACTAGGGAAGCAATGATAGTACAAAATGCCCCCCCCGTCGACAAACAGCGCCCAGCAGGCCTGTCTCTATTGATTATGTCACTGGATATTACAAAATGTTCTTTTCAAGTTGGTTGCCGAACGTAAAATCGCTCTCGACAAAAACGTCGCCTTGATAGCCGAGCGGCTGATGTTGATACAGAACGGAAGTGATATTTTGGCCAACAATCAAGTGGCAAAAGAGTTCGTTAAGGTGGGTACCTGTGCTAGAATAATTTTTCCAGGTAGAAAGCTAATGTAAACAAAAATAGAATATTTTTAGTCCACCTATATCTCCCTACTGCAGCAGGAATCTTTGTATGAAGGCAGTACGTATTCCAAATCGTCCGACGAAGGGAATTTCAAATGGAGCTATGCTAGCGCGATATTCTTCTCGATGAATCTATACACCACGACTGGTTACGGTATGTGCGTTACGGTAGATACTGGGGATGAACCAACTTCACAAGTTTTCCTTATTCCAGGTTCAATAGCCCCCGAATCGATGCTTGGTCGAATATGTGTAATGTGGTATTCTCTGATAACGATTCCCATCACATTGGTGGTGATTCGTGATCTCGGTCAATGGACACTCGTCTGGCTAACTAAACTCTACGCCATGATACTGGTTAAGTTTAGGTGAGTGAAAATTTGAATAAAATCTTAATTTGCTTCAATTGGGAGACGGGCAAGAGAGTCGTAAATTGCCGTCTCGTCGCGCGCGGCAATGAGCGTTAGTTAATTTGCAATACCCTTTCAAAGGAGCATTGGATTTTATGTAAACAAGGAATCGTCACTAATGTCTATTTTGGTTGTACATTGTCTATTCTCGACCACTACCACCTAAAATCGTCGTCATTATTGGGCGCGACGTCGCACGCGACGCCCACTGGCGCGGCGAATTACGATTCTCTTGCCACATACCCGCTTCAATTAGAGTGGAAGGGCGAGCAGCTGATGCAGTGCTAAGTGTGACTGGCGAGATGTACGGGGGGCCAGAAAAAAAGTCATTTCGCGCCGAGTACACATATGAGCGAAGTTTTTCGCGTAGCCCAGACAGGGGAAGTGGATATGAGTACCAGAGTGGAAGATACCCAAGATCTTCCTCTATAAGCTGGAGCACGCTGCCGCCAATCGCCTTCATGTACGCCAAAATATGAAGTCATCTCCAGTCGCGGCCTGACTGGAGAACACCTTTGGAATTCACGTGAGGTGTCGCCTCCAAACAGCTGCGAAACTTCTTGAATGAAGTCATCCACAGATAGCTACCTGGAGGTCAGTACTCTTGATCTGCAAGACCTCCCACATCGACCAGCTACGGCAACGTCGCTACGGTCTAGGACAATCATAATTCACCGTATTTCGCGAGGACGCTGAGTGATGGTTATGGAGGCGGGGTACCGGAAAAGGGTGAAGACCGATTATTTTTCTTTGTAGACCCGACTGAAGGTGCAGCGTTGGCGTTACATCAAGTAACAATCCGAGAAGAATAGTTCTCATTCCACATGTGGTCGCCCGTACCTTCTTGGAGACCTTGTGCTGCTACAGGTTGGGTGCCACCACATGGAATCTAAGGGTTTTTGAAAAACTCCCGCCTACTTGGAATGGAAGGAGCTGAATACCTAAAGAAGGTAGAATATCCAAGTAGGTCACCTGACCTGTATCCCCTCAATTACCCGGTTCGGGCGGAGTTCAATAGGGTGGTCTACGGTGGCGGAGAAATCAACGATCTCGCTCAACTCCGGTACCCACTCACTTTCGCGCGGCCGAATCTCTCGATGGCGCTCCTCCAGAAGGCTGTGGCGGAGTATCATTATAGTATTTAATGTGCTCTTTAATATGGTAGTAAAATGTCCGATAAAAATTTAATAAAGTGTAACTTATAGCGCCTTGAAAGTCATGGAGGCAAAATGACTTTTTTTTTTGGGCCACCCTGTACACTCAAGATCCCTGAGATCGGGCCAGGCCGTGGCCGCCCATGTTTTCGACATTATCATTAAGCGTCTCCACGCTTTCCGTCTGTATGGGATGTTTCCTTGTCTATACACCAGTCGTTTGTCCTCGTGTCTCTGTCCAACAGAGAACAAGATGACAGTTGTCCCAGACTGGAAATATTCCACTAGTAACCAGTTCCTTACAGTGTTCGAATGCTCCGCCTACCCGATCTCAGGGATTTCGAGTTATACCGTGCGCGATCTAATGGGTCCTATGGTATGTTTCTTTGGAAAAAAAACCGTGCTCCAGTCAGAGCACGCTGTCAAACAGAGCTGAAAAAGTGTACACGGTGTGTACGGTTGATTTACCCAGATTGAAAGCACACCACACACACCCTTGTTAGCGTGCGGCAGCACCGTCCTCTGAACCCACTGGCCCGGGTGCTGTGCGAGAGAAGTACTGTGCGCACTGGACGAGCGGGTCGGAATCTTGCGTGGCAGGGATGCTTTAAGGTGACATGGATAGAGCTCCTTCACATTCCCCAAAAGGCAAGTACATATCACCATCGCGTATGGTGACGGGTACCCTATATCAATTTTTTACCTTTCCCCCATTGTACTGCCCGTCACCTAAGGTTGGCCTTAGCCACATGCACAGCTACATGCATCTAAACCGTAAGCGGTCCCACAACTCTTCCGTGCCTTATTGTCTAGCCTTCCAGGGATCGTGCCGAATTATAAGACGCCCACCATTTACCCAAGGCATGTTCTCTCCATAAGACAGGGCCTAGCGTCAGATCCCTGTCGGACTGGGACTGACCAGGATCCGCTGATGTCGGAACATTCTTCATCTTTCTGTATTCTTCCAACTCCCCTGACATATGGGAGAGCCAACAGCAACCGCTTCAACGATTAATGTGGTGATGAAGAAAAGGTGAAAGTCGGTCGCGAAATTCTGCCTCAGCCACCTACAGCCCAGGCGGCGTACACGGTATGCGGTAATTATGTGTGCATTCACAAAATTCAAGCCCTTGATTGGACGCGCAGTCGGTACTGTATAGCCCTGGGATCCTAATCTCATAAGGTAATATAATTGAGGAGAGTGGAGGGGCAAAGGCACAGCGGCTGAGGAGGCGAACTTTCCTCGATAAAGTGAGCATACGACCCGTTGATGTAGGCATTACGACCCGTTGGTAAGGAGGTAGCGAAGGTGCCAGCTCTTTTGTGATATTTTAGCAGCACTACCTGCCAGCGGGTCAGGCGAAAACCCGTAACGCGCGACGGTACGAGTTCGAGTCCGTTGGTTATTCTGATTTTGTGGCTCAGCATTCTTGCTTTTATGGGACTTTTCCCAGTAGGTAATGAGGGGCGTGAAGTCGCGCTCCACGAGGGAGAAGTGGATAGTGAGCGCCAGAAGCTCGACGAAGTCGAACGGAAGCAGCTGCTGTGCAAAACCACAGGTGGGCGGAGCGCAGTTCGTGTGGAACCTGTGGCGGGGTCTCAGCACGCATGTTCCTTTTTCTAAGTGGCTTCGAGCTGCACCTAACTGTGTTCAGATAGAGCTTCCATCAAGGCGTCAGGCGTGGACACCACAATGCACGCTGCAAATGACAGGATCTGTCTCTCCGGAGAGCTTTGTAAAGAAGACCTATTCTATCCAAAAAGTTCTTCAAGAATTCCACCTTCTGTGAGCACCGGTCAGACATGTCTTTCCACCCGCTTACATGAGCTGTGATCACTTGGAGATGGTCCGGGAGCATGCTTCAGGCTCCGAAGCGCTGTGTTACCTCTAACATTTCCACCGCGCTCACATTTGAGGAGCATACAACAGTTCCGTATTGATTTCAGGAGAACGATGGGATATCTGGAGCCGCATGAGGACAGCATGATTTCATTACCAATCAAGTTTTGCCTTATGCTGTTAGCGGGTGAGCAGAATCTATTCTTACTAACATTTGACCATTTCATAAGTCGCTGAGAACACCCAGTTGATATCATCGCCGTGCCGGGGGGAGATGCCAGGAGCCGTGGAAGCCCACGCGCGGCGTTTTCTACCACCGGCTGTTTTCTACCTGATCCGGCCACTAGTGGTTGATAACATTGCAGTGGGTGGAGTCACTACACGGTCCTGGCACCGCCCAGCTGGGCTGCGACGATATCAACCACAACTCTCTCATGTGTGAAATTGAAAGGGAGTCTAATCGTTTATCTAGGTTACCTATTATTTACCGCCGCATTTGTCTATTTTTTCGACGAATGGATGGGATATGTGCCAGAATCCGGTCTGTCGTTCTTTACCGCTCTATACTTCTCCTACATATCTATTTCTACTATTGGCTTGGGAGACATTATGCCGAAAAACGCCACGGTAAGGTTTGATTCCGTCTTCCATCTTCACGCAGACCTTACGTTGCGCCATAAAGGATAAGGATAAAGTCTTCGCCGTTGATCAATCCCTTTGTGGGATGCGGCACGCATTCTACTTCCATTCAGAATCGTAGTGGCTTATTGAATGCGATGTGGCCTATACAATGACTTGCGGTGGCCAGCCGATGTACAAGTCAGTGTTTTATCCTCCCAGACGAATCTGGTACCAATTTCACCGTCCCCGGAGGGTAGAAGGCTTGGTTGGCCTGGGCGGGAGTCGACCCGGGATTTGAACCAGGACCGCGCGAGTGGTAAGCGCGCCACTTGTCACTACACCACCTCCACCTCCGCTGCACCATGAAACCAAAAATCGCGAAATCCGGCTTGGTGGGGGCACTACATGGTGCTTAGCAAATCTAGTTTTTTTTGTGGAGACCCTTAAATTCCTGTAATCAAATTGGCTCACTAACATCATTCCGCAAGTCCAAAGTGTAACCTGTTAGTTGTCATGAAACTAGCGGAAGTGTAAATTGCCCCTCCTATTGCTCCTCGTAAGCCAAACTTCGCCTGGTTCCGGATGATGTGCGTTGCAGAAAAATGGCAACATGGGACAAGACATCCCAAGCTCGCACCTTTCGGGGACCAATGGCAGATGTTTTGGCTAAAAGCTGCAGCGCTTCCAAATCGAAGGGGCCTGTAAAAAAGAGGCGGGACTTTGC